TATATGTGCATAGAAATTGAATAAGAATATGGATAAAATTGTTAAATCAGACAGGAGAATATTTAAAGAAAAATGAAGTAAGCTATAATATGAAATGAGATTGTATAAAATAAGAGTAATGAATATAGAAATTGAATAAGAATAAGGATAATGCTGTTAAGTAATGCATGAGATTACTTAGAGAAAATGGTCATAAGTAATAATATGATAGAAATTTGGATATGAAAGCTGGTCACGTCTGTATGAAAATGTGAAAAAATGGAACCCCATTGTTCATCTAAGGAGATGTTTTTAAAAGATATATATATCTATATATATCTTTTAAAAACATCTCCTTAGATGAACAATGGGGTTGTTTTATATATATATATATATATTTAAAGTTACGAAGGCCCTAAAAAAAAAGAGACGGACAACCTGTCCTCGCAGTTTACAAGCGTTGCGCCATCCCCCACAGTCGTACGATCCAAATTTGGGTGCTTGGGAACCTGGAAGATTTTGGGAGGAATGGGAGGGGATGCCTGGCACCCTTTGAAGACTTCTGGAAACGGGATGATTAATTGTGCACCGGCTGTTAGCTTGAGAAGTTTAAACGATGTGAATTTAGACTCGAAGGTAGAAACAAGGAAGCAAACGCTGGAGGTTGTGTTGAATGTTTGCGGTGTCTTTTGGATTTCCTTCTTAGAAACCTGAGTCTCGGGACTACCTGACCAAACCAGAACTGCAGAAAAGTGCTCAGCCTCTCTGTGATAAATCCTTCTTTTTGGTAAGCTGATCCTCTCCCTGCTTGTTATTGCACCAATTAATTCATAATTAAGGGATTAAATTGATTGAAGATTGATTCTTTGTGTGTGTGTGTGTGTGTGTCTTCAAGTCAGTTTTTGTCTCCTGGTGGCTGCCTGGGTTAGTCGCTGTAATTTTCTTGGCATAGTTTTCTGGTTTGCCATTGCCTGGTGCTTCCTAGGAATGAGAGAGTGATCGGCTCAAAGACATCCACTTGGCTTTGTGCCTAAAGCGGGACTAGAACTCACCGTCTCCTGGTGATTGTCTGAAAGTCACCCAGCCGGCTTTCATGCCTAAGACAGGACTAGAACTCACCGTCTCCTGGTGATTGGCCCAAAGTCACCCAGCCG